ATGTTATGATATAGGTGTAAAGCAACCGTTGACAAAAGATATTTATCCAAAGCAGCCGATACGCAACCATAGTCAACCAGTTGTTTATCCGACTACAGACGAAAAGGGATGGATATGTTTTTACTGTGTGTGCGGTGGCTGAGCTGAATTGCTTTTTGCAATGGTGCTTAAAATTTACTTGACCGATTTAAAAATTCTTTCATCATTACAATTATATTATGACTGTGAAACGTACTGTGACGGCCCAATATTATTATTAATAATTAAATTCAATATAAAGGGGCATCAAAAATGGTCTTAAAAGATATATAATAAACAATAAAATTACATTAATAACCATAAAGTTAATACAAATACATTTCAGACATTAGACCAATAACATAGTAAATTAAAGGCAAAATATTGTCTTCCATAATAAATAAATTTATTAAAAACTTGAAAAAATATTTAAAATAAGATAAATAATAGAAATACAAGTCAAAAATATTATAAAAATAAAGATAAATAACATTTATAAGATATTTAGAAAATTTGTAAAAAAATGTCTAAGTCGTGGAAGGAGTTATGGAAGGTGTTCATGTATATATGCTGTATGGAGTGTTCATGTATACTGTGTATGTATGCCTTGTATGGAGGAGCTGTCGGAGATACATATTTTTATTTTTTTTTTGCGCCAGAAGCAAATATGGGCAACCATCCCGAAAGCGGGGGAGGGAGGTTGGGAATGCTCATAGCATACCACGCAGCCGGCTGCGTGGTTATGTGGTGACTTTTACCCACTAAACCCAACCTTTTAGGAACTGGCTTAACGATCTGACTAGAGATCTCTAAGCCGTATACGAACGCGACCCTCCTTGGCAGAAAGGCGGGCGCAAGGAGATACATACCTGCAGTTGTACATATATATGGGGTGGTCGGGAGCCCGACTGCCTGAAGTACTGTAGCACAATGACTAGTCCTATATTAGGGACTTATGATATTAAACTCAATGATACAAAATCAATACTATAGAAGGTCTCTATGATTAATATGCATTACAATAGTAAGGTCGTGGGTTCGAATCCTTTATATTGATGACTTATGAAAGTAAGGTCTATGATACAAAAGCAATACTATAGAAGGTCTCTATGATGAATATGCGTTACAATAGTAGGGTCGTGGGTTCGAACCCTACATATTAATGACTTATGAAAGTAAGATCTATGATACAAAAGCAATACTATAGAAGGTCTCTATGATGAATATGCATTACAATAGTAGGGTTGTGGGTTCGAACCCTATATATGAATGACTTATGGAAGTAAGGTCTATGATACAAAAGCATTATTATTGAAGGTCTCATATAATGATGCATAAGCATTGTATGGGGTGGTCGGGTGACCGACTGCTCCTAGTACTGTAGCAAAATGATTAGTCCTTATTAGGGACTTAAAAAGGAATATTATGGTGGCGTGTGTGCTGCTTCACGAGCAATTGGTCCGAGGTAAACTTGGACTCGCTAACAGATGTCCTAGACATATCATCTTAGTGCCGGAGGTAAGCGGGTTTATTGTAGCAATACGGCTTTCCCGTGGACATCGCACACCCATACCGTTTGTGGGCGACGTCGTAGTGCATAGCGATGCGTCGTCTTACTCAACTTCATGTCTTAGTGCATTAGCGCTATGATACGTGGAGTTTTGTTCATTGGCGTCTTAGTAGCGTGCTACTATGATACGTTGGTGATATTTTTTATATAATAACAATAAAAACTTTGTTACCAAAATCGATAGGGATCATGTGGGTGTGTTGTGAGGGGGCGCCACCCGTATGATAGTTGTATTGATGCTTACTGCTACTTGCGGTATTGCGTCTTGTGATGGATATGCGGGTGTGCCGCGCCTGATTCGACGCATTCCTGTGGTTCTGGTCGATGGAGGTATACAATTAACATCTTAGTGCCGGTGGTAAGCGGGTTTGTTGTAGCAATACGGCTTTCCCGTGGACATCGCACACCCATACCGTATGTGGGCGACGTCGTAGTGCATAGCGCTGCGTCGTCTATCTTTCGGATTGGGATGATAAGTGTGTTTGGTAGCACTTTTAAGTGTAACAGGCATACTCAACTTCATGTCTTAGTGCATTAGCGCTATGACACATGGAGTTTTGTTCATTGGCGTCTTGGTATCGTGCTACTATGATACGTTGGTGATATTTTTTATATAACAACAATACAAACTTTGTTACCAAAATCGATAGGGGTCATGTGGGTGTGTTGTGAGGGCGCGCCATCCGTATGATAGTTGCATTGATGCTTACTGCTACTTGCGGTATTGCGTCTTGTGATGGATCTGCGGGTGTGCTGCGCCTGATTCGACGCATTCTTGTGGTTCTGGTCGATGGAGGTAAACAAATAACATCTTTGTGCCGGTGGTAAGCTGGGTTGTTGTAGCAATTCGTCTTTCCCGTGGACATCGCACACCCATACCGTTTGAGGGCGGCGTAGTAGCGCATAGCGATGCGTCGTCTATATTTCGGATTGGGATGATGAGTGTGTTTGGTAGCACTTTTAAGTGTAACAGGCATACTCAACATCATGTCTTAGTGCATTAGCGCTATGATACGTGGAGTTTTGTTCATTGGCGTCTTGGTAGCGTGCTACTGTGATATGTTGGTGATATTTTTTATATAACAACAATACAAACTTTGTTACCAAAGTCGATAAGGATCATGTGGGTGTGTTGTGAGGGCGCGCCATCCGTATGATAGTTGCATTGATGCTTACTGGTACTTGCGGTATTGCGCCTTGTGATGGATCTGCGGGTGTGCTGCGCCTGATTCGACGCACTCTTGTGGTTCTGGTCGATGGAGGTATGCAGGTAGTGATGTCTGTTGGGATGTATGGGGGACCTTGGGATGGTGTAAGCTCGACGATAGTCGTATTGATGCTTGTTGCGTTCTGCAGCGTTGCGTCTTTGCGATGGTTGTTTGGTGGGACGCTATTCTCAATGGCGCTCTCTGCGTCTTGGTTTGACTCACACCTGAGTAGCTTTGTCCAAGTCGGGTCCCTTCATTACGGGGCTGAAGACTGTCTGCCCTCCACGATGTTTTATATAACAACATAATATTATATCTCTGTAACTTTCCCACCTTTGAATGATTGAAGGCAACTTGTTGGTGGTTGAGACAAACATGATCGAAAATGCATTTACTCAACGTCAGTGACACAAACCCTTTCTGATGGCGAATTATTACTCTTATATTATAACTGCCTTTTGCCTATATCTGCCGTTGTATTGGTTGGTGGAGCATATGTGTCGACCTCATGCGGGTGGTAGCTGGCGGGAGAATCTGAGGAGACTCTCAATGCTGCGGTCGAAAGCCGCACATCGTGGGACCCCATTCCCTTGAGGTGAGCGGTAGGCTCATGACATGCTCTGCGGCTAGTAGCCGTGCTGATTATGCAATTGGTGGTGATGCCATACACTTAGGGCGCTTTTAGTGTCACGCGGATTTGCTCACGCACGCGGGATTGGACCGCATGCGTAAAATTTCACGCTGCGGATCATACGCAGCATGAGTTTCAGTTTTCTACGGGCTGCGTAACGGTATAGACGTGTTCAAAAATGATCAATGTCAGAAGAATATGTGTCGCTTACATACTTTACAAACGACGAAACAAGAAGACAAGAGTACATGTTGATCCCTTTCTTGAAAATAGGCTTCTTGCTGGGGCGTTTGTTACACGCTTTGGAAAACTACAAAATAATGAACGTAAATTTAAAAATTACTTTCGAATGTCCATTCGTTCTTTTGATGAACTGTTGTGTAAAATTGAGAATAAGCTACAAAAAAAGCAGTTTACGAAGGATTACAATACAACCGATTGAGAGGCTCGCTATTACATTAAGGTAAGTTTTAAATTTTAAATATTTAATTTCCTGCTATGATTTAGTGGAAAGGGATTTGAACAGGTAGGATAAACGTTTTTTGACTTCAAATTACTGTCATGTGTAAATTTACATGTGCAAAAAAAAAATTTTGTCATGTACTCTGAAATTTCATTGTTCATAATTTCATTCAATTTCATGTTGAAATTTCATTAAATAAGATTATTTCACTCATAAAATGTCGCCATTAAAGTGGAATCATTCCTACCTTTCATCACACGCTACTTATTATAATATAGATAAAAGTTATAGGTTTGCACATGACAGTAATTTAAAGTCAAAAAAAGTCCTTAATTGGTTTGGGATTGGTACGTTCAACCTACATACACAATCCTTTTTTTTATCTGATAAAGTACACATGGCCACAGATCAAGTTACCCAAAACCAGCATAAATGGAACTCGCGCCTTGCGTATTATCATACTTAGGTAACCCGTCGGAGTCCCGCTTATACTGGATTTGAGTAACTTGATCTGTGCCGTGTGTACAACCGCACTCATATGACTAAACAAACAATTAGAGAGAAACTGGAGAAAAAAAGTTAATCGTACTCATTTTAATAAAAAAGAGTTTTATTCATAAATTAAAAAATCAAATTTTACATCATTCATTTCTTTGTAAATTTGTATCCTGAGCGTTGACATTACTTTCGCCTGTAGATGATGTTGTTGCTGGGGTATAAATTACGTCATAAGACGTGATATTAAACAGGCCGCTTTCAGTCGAAATAAGAGTTTCATTGTCATTCACTGCAGCAGAACTAATAGCATTGTCGTTAAGACTCGAAGTATCCTGGATTATACTATTGGTTTGGTAATCTTGATTTATCGGTGACAAACTGTCAAGCTCAGTAAAAGCACTAGAACTTGTTGTAGGTATGGGACTGTAGTATGCAGGTTGTGTTTGACTTTCCATTTCCATAACTATATTTAACACTTTTGTTCTGAACATTAGTTTTTGATATCTAGTGAATCTTTTTAATGAAGGCTGCAGAGACTGAAAGAAAGCCAAATCCTCACTTTCTAGCTCCAGTTGATTAGACTTTAAGCATTCTAATAACTGTGCCTCAAATTCAGATGGTGCTTGCTTTTTTAGATTTTACTTGTTTTTGTTTTGATGTTGGGTGAGAACTTTCTTGACGTGAAGTATCTGGTTGCGTGGACTCATTAGGTGTTTCTAAATTACTTTGTTCAGACATTTCTTCACAGAGTGACTCTTCTCCAGCAGTTTCCGTTGTACTGTCTAAGAAAGTCAAAATGTCATAGTAAGAATATTTCTTCTTCTTCTTCTTACTCCCAGAGCCGGATGGCTGATTTTTTCAGATATCTTGTCTTTCTGGTAAGTGTCCCTTGCTGTTCGCCAGCGTTGTTGTATTTTCTTGTCTGAAATGACAAAATATAATAAGTAAGTGGCAAAAGTACACACAGTTTCAGATCAAGTTACCCAAAACCAGTACCAATAAACGGAACTTGCTAGGGCCGGTCAATTTCGCCGCGAACGATAGCGCAAAGTGAATCTTATACTAGACGCAGACGGCGCGGCCGGGGCGGCGCGGCGCAGACATCGACGAAATAATTCATTTTTTACAAAAATAATTAGAACTTCATTTAAGTATTTTTGGAAAAACACCGGATTGAATCGGGCAATTTGTTTATTTGTTACAGTAAAATTTGCCATCATCAAAATTAAGGTGAAAACTTCCGGAAGTCACTAGCGCTGTAAGTTTTTAATTTGTTTTAACAAAAATTTGCTTTATTTGCATCTGTCAACCTTCATGAAGGAGGACATCTTGTAATGTAAATATTGCCTGAAATAAACGATATTTCATTATATTATATTATATATATTTATTAGATTCCTTTCATTTGCCGGAAATTTTACCATAGGGGTTAATTTATACAGAGAAGATTTCTTATAAAATATTTACAGCATAGTTATGTGTCTCAAATCTGCTAAAAGTGGCCACTTTTAGCAGATATGAGATACATAACTATACTTCGAACTTTTCATATGAAATCATAACTGCATAAATACCCCCCTATGATAAAATTTTCGGCAAATCATAGAAATCTAACGTAGCTATAGTACTGTAGTTAAAACGAATTAAAAACTTCTAGCGCTAGCTACTTCCGTGCCCTTTCACCTTAAGGGTATTTATTTTTCTTCTGAAGTAAAATTCGAGCGGTGCATGCTGTCTTATGTCTGATGTCAGCATTATTAATATATTATGTTATCATATTATTAATATATTGTTTTTGTTTTCAGATATTTGGCAACTGGTAATACATTCACTGATCTACACTATTCCTATGTGATTGGAATTGCAACAATTAGCGAAATTGTAAGACAAGTTTGTTACATAATATGGATTGAACTAAAGTCTGAATGTATTCCACAGCTTAATGGGATCAAATGGAAAGAAATCGCAGAGGGATTTCTCACATATACAAATTTTCCTAATTGCTTGGGTGCAATTGATGGAAAACATATAAGAGTGATTCGGCCGCCGCACAGTGGATCACTATATTTTAATTATAAGAAATATTATTCTGTAGTGCTCCTCGCAATGTGTGATGCTGATTATAATTTTACATATACTAATGTCGGTACCAGTGGAAGCAACGCCGATTCAACCATCTTTAGAAGGAGTCAATTGTATACGAAACTGGAAAGTAACACGTTGGGTATCCCTGACCCGCAAGAGTTGCCTATTATTTGCCCCGAAGTAGCTTATCCATCTAGTGTAAGAGCAAAGTTGCCGTTCGTGATAGTGGGAGACGAGGCATTTGGTTTATCATCACATGTGATGCGGCCTTATGCTCGTGATAATTTACCTTACAAAAAGAAAATATTTAATTACCGTCTGTCCAGAGCTAGAAGGTACATAGAATGCACTTTTGGAATTATGTCAAATAAATTTAGAATATTTCACAGATCCATGAATGTCAAGTTAGATCTAGCACAATTAATAGTCAAGACGGCATGTGTACTTCACAATTTCATAAGGAAACGGGATGGCTACAAGGTCAGCCATACATTTGTCACAAATGGTTTTACGGGACCACTACCCAGGCAGCAGACTGAAAGTAGTAATACGTCGGCAAGTAATATCAGAGATATATTTGCAGATTACTTTATCAATGAAGGAAAAGTCTCCTGGCAACACCTATATATAATTAATTAACTAAACTCAAAAGGTTTTAGAAGGTTTTTGATGTTATTTGTGAATTAAATAATTATGCTTATATTAATAAAGTAATAATGCTTGTATAAATAAAATAATGAACCAAACACATACCCGCCTCTTTTCTTTCCTCTTCGCTCAAATTTTCGTAGTTAGGTGCCAATTCCTTCAAAATATCTCTCCATGCAGCCTCCCTCGCGTCCCTGTGTTTGTATAATTCATTGCGTTTATCCCACAAAACGGGCCGCAGATGAACTTCAATGATTACTCGTTCTGTATCGATTTTCATTTCGGTAGTACAATACGGCGCGTGCGCCCCGCTCGACTCTAAAATGGGCACTGAAGTTGTAGGCAGCGCTTACGCATGCGGATACCCCGCACCGGGGTGACGCCCCGCACAGCGCCCCGCGTCCCGCGTGCGTTTATCACGCTTTACAATAGATACCTATATGAAATTGTTCTTTGCGGATGCTACGCATGCGGTCCAATCCCGCGTGCGTGAGCAAATCCGCGTGACACTAAAAGCGCCCTTACATCACGTCTGCAGGAGCGGCGGTCTGGCAGGTGGTGGCGCTCACGGAGGGTTTACGGCCAGTGTGCCTATTTGCCTAAACCGTGTGACGTACATTCACTGTGGCTGGATTCGTACGTATTCCGTATGGTGTTTACACGCATTGACATGCGCGACTTCGGTCGATGTTTGTGCTTACGCACTAACAAGGGGCCAAGCCTCTTTTACTGGTTAGCCGGTTATTTTGCTGTGGACTACGGTCCAGTTCCCGAATTAGCGTTCCCTTTATGGGGAGTGCATCAAAATGATTGGCGCTCACCGTGCACAGCGTGTGTACACCGGAGCCGTGTGCCTCCCCTATATTTTTTAAATAAATGTAGGAGAGCGAAGCCCTTGTATCGGGTATTTTGTATAAATATATTTTGAGCCTTTTCCGAGCGGTAAGGGATAAATAATAATAAATTAATAATGTAAACCTGATATAAGTGGAATAGGGACGTTTTATAATCTTAACCTTTCTCGAGTCCTATCTTCGTGAACGGGGTTCACTTAACTTATAAGGCACTATCAACAGCTTTCAATTGCTCTAGTGAATATTCATTCTTCCAAAAGACACCTAAAAGAACTAAGTTACTAAACAAACACAACGTAAGTAAGGGTCCTAACTAAGACGATCACACCATAATATTACAAACGGCCTATTATGAAACCTTTAGAAAGATCAAAACATATCTTATTAATCATGGTCACATATATATAATTTTTAATATAAATGGGAATATAATACATTTAGTATTTTATATATTTATTATTATGAGAGGGGGGAAGCGTTACAGTACGATGCATTTTATGATAGAGGACGCTACTTTCAACGAATATATTTATTTAGCTAAAGTCGTAAAATATTTTCACCGCTATAGAATTATGTAGTGTGCAAAATATTAATTAATGTATATTACTTTATAAATAACAGTAAAATAGTTAATTGTTTAGTGTAATTGTAATATTTAATTTTAAATTATTTCTATATATATTTATATTTCATAATTACGGACATACCATTCCACAGAAATTATTATATATATTATGTATTAGCAGTGGCTATTGTTTAATGCAGCGGTCGGTGCAAGGGCAACTCAACAACAGCAAACCGGTTCACCGCTGGCTGCCCTTGCTACGAGAGTTCGCACCACGCCACCAGTACGTTTACGTATGCCATACTGTTCGTTTGTTGACTGTTTACTCATGATAAGAAACTGTTATAATAATAATTCGTTCGCTTGAGACTCTTAGTTCTTGTGCTATCTTTATATATATAACTATCACTCTATTCTCCTTCTGTGTGTTATAAAAGACTTATTAAAAAGTTAAAGTTACAGCCTATATACGTCCCACAGCTGGACACAGGCCTCCTCTCATTTCTGAGTAGGTTTGAGGGCAAGGAGGAGTCCACCGCGCTGCCCCAATGCATGTTGGCGAACTTCACATGTCTTCGAAATATTTTTAAAAGACTTGTAACTTGTGTAAATTATAATTATTTAAACTGAAAGACTATTGAATTTTATTTTACTTACACAATTAGCTTAACAAATATTAAATTGAACTATAATTATAGATATCTAATGTAGGATGCATTTTATTATAGAGGGCACTATTTTCTGTGAATATGTTATTATTAGCTAATCTCGAAAAATAATTGACCGATTTTGAAAATTCTTTCACCATTACATTGCTAATGAGGGCGTTAGTTGTGTGATAAAAATTATATTATTAAATAATTATTTGTGATATTAATACTTTCTAAATAAATAAAAGTCAATTTTTAATATATAAAGTCAATTTAACAATCGTATTTACACACTTTACCTACTTAGGTTGATTGTTATAGATATAGGTAATAAATCTAAAATAAAAGAGCCCCACTTAAACGAAAAAATAATTAATAAAATGTAACTAAAAGTTGGAAAAAGTGGCACAATGTGAATCGGCCTCGCAAACCAATGAAGAGTTCCGTAGTAACAAGCATAGATTTTACATAGAGTTAAAATACCACTATCATTATCGTCAGCAAAAAGTTACTTTGTTTTTCCTAGTGTTTGTATAAAGGACAAAATTGTAATTATGGTTCTTAAAAATAAGCTACTTGTAGCTCAAAAAAAAAGGACTAATCTACATTACTTAATATTTTGCACACTACATAATTCTATAGCTTTCTGTGGTTTATTCATTACGAAAGAGAAAAACTTATTGCACAATTTTTTTTGTTTAGATTTGTTTGTAATTATTTTAATTGCATATTATCATTTCCATATGCTTTTATATGTGGGCACCCATGGCCGAAGTGTCTATGAACAGTGGGCATTCCCCTTTATAAAACCGATTTGTTATTCAAACATAAACATGGTTTTTTAATTAAATCTACCGATCAAAAAACGACACGCATACTTATTGAAAACTTCTATTCAATTCACAAAGTACCTATTATATTTGTTTATATAAAAAAGTATAATTACAATCATAAAAAATAAATGGAAACACAAAGTAGGCAAATGTAAAAAATGGTAGGCAGCCCTTTCGCATGTTTACGTACCGCGCGGCTGTAGGCATTTATTTCAAAGATACGGCCGAGTTACAATACTGTATAGATAATATTACCGTGCTCGCGGCCTGTAAAGTCAAGGGTCAAAGGCCTGTAAGGCCGCGAGCTATTTAAAAAAGGGAAAGTCGAAGTATTAGCGGTCAGCCGCCGTAGTCTACATTACCTGAGAATGCCTCGTGAAGAGGCGAAACACGTGTAGGTTAAAAAAAAGGGAAAGTCTAAGTCTTAGCGGTCAGGCGGCGTAGAGTCTACATTACCTGAGGAATCCTCGTGTAGAGGCGAAACACGTGTCGTATTATCGTCGATGATGTGTCTTTCCTGGAACAGTGGTGTTGGAAGTAGTGGTGCCGGGAGTAGTGGTGTTGTGAGTAGTGGTGCTGGGACTAGTGGTGACGGAATTAGTGCATGCAGTTGAGGGTGGGCGGGAGGTGACCGATAAGAAAAAAACAAATTTTTTTTCTTTTATTAAATAAATAAATAATAAATGCACTTTGTTCATTCATATTCAAAACACTTTATACACAAATTTTACAAGTACAGCTATTCACTGTTGTACATAAATACCTATACACCTATATACTTTCTCATAAACAGCTGCTTATGTATTCGTCCGATTTCGGAGCAGCTCGTCTCGATTCGTGCCAGCTTCGTAGAATCGTACAATACGTCTAGTTGCACGCCCACAAACACCGTGTCGAAGACTGCCGAAAAGAAACGACGTTAGACAATGCAGGGCCTTCAAGCCACACCTCCGTGCCCGTCGGAGTGGGGAGCGTGAGGTTTTTTCGTTACGGAATTTCTGGATTCGGTCCCCGCGCTCAAGGCCCGCGATAGAAGCTATGCAATAGCTTAAAAATTACTTCAAAAGTGCTTTACTTTACCGTATGAAACTAAGAAAAATAAGCAGGAGAAAAGAAAATGCTGTGGCCCATAGACATCTACATCTATCCTCGATTACGAATCAAAACGCAGATGCGTTGTCACCCGTGATGACTAGGATGGAATGCTTCGTTTCCAGTAAAAAGAGTCTCCGGTTCTCTACAGTCACCATACGAAACACAGCAGCATTAAGCTAATATTTTACGCTCGTATTCTGTGAGAGCGTGGTCCTTCCCCGGTCGAGCCGACCCTTTCGTGCTACAACTATACTACTAATATAACTGCAGCATGTCTCTGCCGTGAAAAGTTTGGCAATGATAAATTGTATTCATATAGGTAATAAAAATTTACGCTCATCAAATATGGATTAGCTGCGTCAACGTCCATCTTGCTTGAAATTCAAGGAACATTTAATAAAAACATTTAACGCCTTTCAACGGCAAATTTAATGCCGTTCAACGGCGTTGAAATAGAAACGACGTTGACCGTTCAAGTGTAGCCACTCATTTTATCGCATTAAATTTAAGGCAATAATTGTTACGTTTATGGGCATTGACGTTGCTCGTTATTGTAGCCGCAGCATAAAACGCTTCCATTTAAAATTAATATTGGCGATTTTTTTCGATCGTGCCAAGAATCGCCAATTCGCCATTACGACAGCGACGTTCACTGCGAACATACGTGATGCACCGGTGTTTTTAATTTCGCAAAATTACTGTTTGTGCTGTAAAACAATGTAAAAACTACTCTTGAAAAATAGATAAAGATAAGAACATCACTTTTAGTAAATAAGTTTACAATATTCTGGTGTATTTATTTGTAAAACAATACGAAAGCTAAACGTCAATACAAGTAATAATACAGCGCAATAATATTCGAGTGTTGCCTAGCCTGTGAAAAGTTTTTACCATTTTTTATGTCATGATCAACCGAAAAGTTTATCTGTATAGGGGTTTTAAACGGTATAATTTTACAGGTTTTAGCCAACCTATAGAGTTAAACCCCTTTTAAGACTTAGGGTTGAATTACATCTGGCTGCACGGAATCGCACTTTCCCGTGCTTCTATCCCTTTTGGTCACTTAGAACCGTCATTTACTAGAGCGAGAAAGAGATATACATAAACATCTACCGTGATATTTTAGTTATTTTTAACTGTTACATTAATTATAGTTTTATTACTTATCTTCAATATTTTAGTGCGCAAACACACACGCACACAAATGCACACGCCTCGCTCACACATTTTACACTCGTGGAATCAATAGGTATGTCAATATGAATGAAATATAAAATCTCCCA